CAACTGCCTTATAAATAAATAGCCTAAATACTTAAAGAGAAACTTCTCTGAAGAGGAAGGAAAGATGGCCAATAGACACATGAAGAAATGCTCAACCTCTCTAGCCATAAAAGAAATGCAAATCAAAACAACGTTGAGATTCCACCTCACCCCAGTTAGAATGGCTATCATCAAGAACTTTAATAACAACAGATGCTGGAGGGGATGTGGCCAGAAGAGAACCTTACTGCATTGTTGGTGGGAATGTAAACTTGTTCAACCACTTTGGAAAGCATTATGGAGGTTCCTCAAAAGACTCCACATAGAACTCCCCTATAACCCAGCAATCCCACTTTTGGGCATTTATCCAAATGATCACAAACAAGACCATACTAAAACTACCAGCACAACTATGTTTACTGCAGCATTATTTACCATAGCTAAAATATGGAACCAACCAGCTGTACCTCGGTAGATGAATGGATCAAGAAAATGTGGTGTATGTACACACACACACACACACACACACACACACACACACACACACACACAATGGAATTAGAAAGAATGGCATCACCCCATTTGTTAGGAAATGGAAAGACTTGGAAAAAATTATACTAAGTGATGTTAGCCAGGCCCAAAGAAACATAGGTCCCATGGTTTCCCTTATTTGCAATAAATAGTGTATGTCTGGGACAAGCAGAAAAGGTCAAAAGCTATGCACATATGACCAGATAAAATGATGTTAAGGGAAATGAACACAAGATAGGGACACAAGTGGTTTTTTTCTTTCTTGCTATTGTTTCTAACATATTTATAATGTAGCTTGTGATTTTTTTTGTTGCTTTGTATGGTCCTTCCCCCATGGGGGGTAGGGAAGAGGGAGGTAGGGGGAGTGTAGTTGTGGAGGTGGGAGGGAAGGGATGGTAGGGAAAAAAAAATGGAGGAGGCAACAATGCTTGACAGGAAATGTACCCATTACCTTGTTTATGTAACTGTAACCCCTCTGTACACTGTTTTTTTACAATAAAATGATTTAACAGTCATGATACAAAAAATATTGCCACTAGACTTCACAGTGGGCAAAAAGTCTTATCCAATTATGGCCTCATGGCTGTGATTTTATGTTCCAGGAAACAAAAACCTCACAGAATCTCTCCTCCATTAAGTAGTTATGATACTCAATATCTTGCCTTGTATCCTACCACATTTTCATTTGTATTTTTGTTGTTGTTGGTTGTGGGGCTTGAACTCTGGGTCTGCACACTATCCAGAGCACTTCAGCTCAAGGCTAGAGCTCTACCACTTTGAGCCACAGCACCACTTTCCATTTTCTGCTGGTTAATTAGAGTATAAGAGACTCACTAATGTTCTTGCCTGTAGTAGCTCTGAACTGCACACAATCCTCAGATCTCAGCCTTCTAAGTAGCTAGGATTACAGGCCTGAGCTGGTGCCCAGCTCATTGGTAATTTTGGCTGTAAAATTCTAATATAATTTAAACCCCAATTTAAGCTAGGGCCAGGAGTCATTCATCTGAAAAATCCAATATTCAAGTAATTAAAGTTGCCTCGAATTTTGGCTAATGATTTGAACCTTTCTCTGAGAATCCGGCATACTACTACAGTTCAAAATGTTACCGAAATAAAGACACCAGGTACTCTACTTCTAAATTCCTTATTATTCAAACTACAAACTTCCCTTGACACACTTCCTTTTTCTCTCAGAATCAAGTGGCTTTAAAAAAAGACTGAAAAAAGCACATGGTTGTTCTATTATTGAAAAGGTAATTACTTCTTTAATATTAAATAAAGACTCACAAATACAAGTGCTCTTTAACTCAGGTGTCATAACTCATTCTCTCCAATACATCAGAATATACATGAGAAAAAATTTCCCAATCAGCTAGAAATATTTACTTGCAAACTCCATTTTTTCACAAACTATTAATTTATTCACAAACTATTATTTTTCTAATTACCCTAAGAAATGTGTTTTATCCCTTCTAAAAGATCCACTGAGTTATAAATTGTTATATTTCAACTTATTATCAACAAGGATGCTCTATATTTTCAATTTCGAAAAACAGATGTTTTCATCACTACTGAAACCAACAAATAACCTATTTATAGTTGGCATGACTATTTACTCTTTACTCTTCAGTTGCAGAAAATTTTTTAAATGCCAAAGTAAAATATGGCCATGTTTGAAAAAATTAGGTAAGAGTAGGATAAATTTTCAACTAGCAATATAGTTCAAATAAGAAAATAGAAAATATTCTCAGAATCTGTAATGATCCCTTGAGAAATTCCCATAATTCTAGCATTGTCACTCCACATTCCTTCAGCACACAAACAGTTTTTCCAGCAGAGGCCTGCACTTAAACAAGTATCCTTTCATAATATTTCCTATCTTTCCATCCCACATGCAAAGTTTACTACTCCTTTCAAGAACTAAAAATATACCAGAAAAAACCTTTCACTTCTCAACAATAACTGCATAGTAAAAAGAGTATTTTTCAGCATCCATTGATGTGCTGTTTTCTATTTTAAACAATCTAACCCTACTATAACACAGTTTACTGAATAAAAATTATTTCCTAAGGATAACTATGCTTCTTAAAATTTTACAAAACATGGTATTAATATATTAAATGGAAAGGTTATTGTTATTCCATCAGTTATTTTGGCCCAGTTTGACACTAATACTACAATTATACAACCACCATATCAACTTGCTACAAGTTTGCTTCTCAATATCTCAAACCAACTTAATGCGTATTTCGTCCCAGTAATCATTCCTGTAAGAAAGATGACACATTTTATAGATCAAAAGAACACCGTGATAGTAAACAATTTATTCAAAATGCCAGTTGATAAGTTGAAATACAAAGAGAAACATCATTTATCTTTTAAGTGAAAAAATAAAATTACATAATATTTTGTTCAGGACACAGAATAAAATTGTTAGCAAGTGAAACACATGATTTCCACCAATTAGGTAGCCTCCCCTAACATAGCTATTCAATTTTTTTCTTACCCTCCATGACAGTTTTCACTATTCTTAATCAAGTCTGGAAGTAGTATTAACACTTGATTTAAGACAATGTTCCAGTTTTACACAGCAAATAAGCTATTTTCTCTTCTTTCTGACAGTCTCATAATTTTAATTTTCTCTATAATACATTTATATGCTATTCATGTCAAAGTATATCATCTCCATTAAGTGCTCTCAAGTATATAAGTCTTTTTATAATTAGAACATCAACCAGTATTCATTTCCTTGACTTAATTCCACTTTAACCAGAAGTCTTTAACCATAACTCTTCAATTAAAATCACTTGTTTTATTACCTAACTAAATTTCTGCCCCACCTCTATAGGTCAGAACCTTGGAAGAAATGAGATCTCATTCTCAAACTACTTCTCAAACTAATTCTTCCTATATTTATACCACTTTTCTTCTTTCTGCAGTAAATCTAGAAACAAACTTCTCAATCTCATTTCCTTTCATAAGTCTTCAAACAGATAGGCTGTAGGTATTGCCAAAAATAATTCGACAAATATTTTTTCCAATACCAGCAAATAATTTCAAAATAACAGAACTTGTTAGAAATATGGTCTATATACTGAAAAACACTTGGTCCTACCTTCCAAGAGACCAAGAAAAATGTTTTCTAGCAACCAATTCCTGCAATAACCCTTTTAAGACCAGATAAATTAGACTAGAGAGGATTCCTGACAGAAGAAAAAACAAGTATAAAATGAAATGATACTGAGTTGTGTGGGGAACATCTAACCATTCTCTACTGCCATGACAGTGTAAACTGACATAGAAAACCAGATAGAAATGAGGCTGGAGATATATCTAGAGCAAGTCACAGTTGGTCCTAATAGACATAAGCACCTGCATCTGTATCATATATACAAAACTTCTCTCATTATCTATTAACTATGAGAGGAAAGAGTAAATGGGCTTTTTCTGTATTTTTCCCAACTTCAACAAATCTATTAGCAAAGTCTCTTTAAACACATTAGCAATCACACTTGTTAAACCCAGACTTCCCTACGTAGGAGGAGGATGGGGGGAGATGGGAGTGGATGGGAAGGGGAAACAAAGGAGGAGGCAACAATGCTTGATAAGAAATGTACTCATTACCTTGCTCATGTCATTGTAACCCCTCTGTACGGTATTTTCACAATAAATAAATAAATAAATAAATCGATAAATCAATATCGAAACTTCCCAAATAAATGCTTACACATGGGTAGTGTAGTTTTTTTTCTTGTTTTAGGTGTAGAGAACGAACTCAGTGTCTCACACAAGCTAAGTACATACTCTACCATATGCACTCTCAGTCAGAGTACAGTTATTAACTCATGGTGTGATATAGAGGTAACTTGAGTGTATCCTGAAAAGCTCTATACTATGAGAAAAAAAAAAGCCCTAAAATCACATGTGAATCTGCCATGTATGCATTAATATGTACATACGCATCTGTGAGGTCTCAAAATACCTCTCCCAGGTTTTTAAGGGGTTTTTTGTTTTGGATTAAAGGAGATTTTGATGCAGAGTGATAGGTCTTTTCCCCAAATTTTTACTGGAAGTTGGGAGAAGGGAAAAGAAATTTTGTTGAAAAATAAACTTTCTAGTGATTAGAACTAGTACTTTACCTCCAAAGTAGTACAAAGCACACTAGTTACAGTCCACCAGTGATCATGATCTTTTTAAAATTCTAGCTATTTCTAATAAATATAGTTGAGACAATTCTATATTTCAAAGCCATAACTAGGTAGCTAAATATATAGATAACTAAATATAATCTGTTACCTCTAATTCAAGGGGAAAAAAAGTAGAATGTGGCTAATAATACTTGTTCTTTTCAACTACATTAAAAGAAACCAAGGCTAATTTAGTTCCTTTGCTGTGCTGTTCTTCACCCCTGTTCAAGAAACATCAGTATATTACCATGAGATATTTCTCATACATTTCATTCCATTATTTAAAAGGAAAAGACAACTTACTTGTATCTGCTTGGCTTCCCACACTGATGTATCTATCGTTGCCAGGAAGTGCTGTTTGATAGTAAGTGGTCTCCTCCTGCTGAGGGGTCTTTGCATTCTTTGCAGTAAGAAAAGCTACTGCTAATTCCAAGTTTCCATTACTATCCTTCAAAGGTTAAGACAGGAACATAGAATGTTTAGGAATAATTCTACACAGTATCTCACAAACTTTATATAATTTTCTGTATCATAAAAATCCTCCATACAAAAGCATACTTATAAACACTTAAATAAACTCAATCTTTTTCTAGGACTTGCCATATAAAAAGGAAATAAAAAGTACTATAAAAGTACAATGAAAGATAATATATTTAATTTACGTATTAGATGTGTAGCTTGGGGTGACACACAAGCAAAATGTCAGGGACTCAGAACGAAAATAGCAAAACATATTGAAATTCAACAGTATGGAAAGGTATGTGTAACTCCTGGACAGAAATCCTCAAATTAATCAAGATGACAATTCCATTCGAGTTTACGCATGAATTTTACTTAAGTTCTTTCTAAAATACATACCTAAGGTAAAAAGTCTTAAGTTCGCTTAAAAGTAATAATGTTAGAATAAAAATTTAAAGCAGCAAAGTGCTAAGAGCCTTGGCCAATTTTATCTTTATATTCTCTACATGGTTAATAAAATAGTATCACACTAAACACAGCTAACTGAAACAATATGAGAAGCTGATTACATGAATAATGGTCATTACAGTGGCAGATGTTAGAACATGGACAGCCCTGAGAACTTCACTATATACAACAGTGTAAAAGGAAGGCAGTGGAGGATTTTGCACAAGAATTACATGTTAAGACCTCATGAATTTTCATTGTAAAAGGTTTACACTGGCTATATATTAAGAACAGAACATGTGGTCAGGTGCCAATGGCTCATGCCTATAATCCTAACTGCTCAGAAGGCTGAGATTTCAGGATAATGGTTTAAAACCAGCACAGGCTCGAAACTCAGTGAGAGTCTAATATCCAATTAGCTTTCAAAAAGTCAGATGTGGACCAGTAGGTTCAAGTGCTTAAGTGCTAGCCTTGAGCAAAATTTAGCTGAGGGATAACACCATGACTCTGAGCTCAAGCCCCAGGACTACTGAGGAAAAAAAATAATAATAAGATTAAAGGACAAAAGCAAATCACCTTAAATACGGGAAATGATAGAAAGATCAAGATGTATTTGATGGATCAAGATCCGGTATTTGATGCATTCCTAAACGACTGAAACAAATGAAGTTCCCAAAACCCAGCTCAACTCTAATTCTAGCAGTCAACGGGGAGAAGAAAATTTGAAAAGAGGACAATTTGCAAAAACACCTCTGATTTATTCTGTATTACATTCAACACTGTGACATTATAAATGACTCATCAAAAATATGAGTAGACAATACTATCAGATTAGTAACTTAATCAAAAATGGTAATGGCTATCACATTGTAATGGCTATAAATTAATCATAGTCATGGCCAATTTTATTAAACACTAGTTCTGTGCCAAGAAATGTGCTGAGCATGTCATATGTCATCACACATAATAATGAAAAAATTAAGTACATAGCCTGCAACTGGTAGCTTATGCCTATAATCCTAACCACTCAGGAGGCTCAGATCTGAGGATCACAGTTCAAAGACAAACCAGGCAGGAAAGTCTGTGACATTCTTATCTCTAATTAACCACCAAAACCCAGGCAGTAATGTTCTGGGGCTCAAATGTTATAGAGCGTGTGCCTTGAGTAAAAAAGCTGTCTCAGGCCCTGAGTTCAAGCCTCAAAACTGAAATTACACACCAAAAAAAATTAGTACATAAAAAATGTCATACTTTGATTTAAAAGTATTGAAATTTATCAGAAACAAAGTGTTTCCCAAAGTAGATTCCACATTGGTGATTCTCAAGAGCACTGACTCATTATTAAACATCTCAAAAATTTACAACAGGCAACAAGGAAGGTCTAAATACGTTCTCCCACCCTCCCCCCCCCCCGCACCCTGTGATTAAAATGAAACTGAAGCTTGGGAAAACAAGGTCTCCTATTCATGCAAATTAAATCAAAGGAATGTAGATAAGACTTAATTTGGTCTACATTCTTCAAGTTAAAAAAGTAAAAATCTGCAAATTGAAACTGGGAAAGTGATGGGCCAGGAGCTTTATATTCTATGATATATTGAGAAAGGCATTTTCTGAAAACTGACTTGGAATGATGCAGTCATGGTATTTATCAGAGTAAAGGAAGGATTGGCAACATCTCAATGTCATACTCATAAAAGATGAGGTACAATACTTCTTCTCTCCAACAACTTACAGTGGCTTCATAACTCCTGTACTAATGCCCTAACAGTACTGTTGCATCACTTTCTTTATAGGGAAAACAAGATGAAGCAAAGCTTCCAATAAAAGAAACAAAAAATTTAATGTCGCATCCAGAGATCAAGCTGCTGTGGCTTCTCTGCCAGCTTCTTCCACTTTCTGGCTGTGAGATCTCAGGGAGTTAAACTGTTTTCCCATTATCTTCAAAAAGGGGGTGGGGGGGAAAGACTCAGGATGGTGGAAGCAACACTATTTAAGAATCATTATGAGGATGAGTTAGCACAAATAAAATCAGATAGTACCTAGCTCTATCAACTGTTTAGTTACTATTATCAGTATGGTGATTACTATTTTAATTATCTCATGATTTAAATTGTTTCTGGAAACAAAGACCTTTTGGCTCAAAATTAGTAATCATTTAATTAACTTTGTCTCATAGAGTAAGCGCTAAAGACTGTAATTGTATACATGACCATAGTAACAAAAACACTACATTACTTTTAACCTTTAATAGCAACAAATAATGAGCTTAAATTATAGTTCTAGTTCAAGAGCGTCATACATTCACTGTGAATTATCCACATGACTTATACTTGAACTTCTATGTGGTAATGAAGATATTTCACAGACATAACCAATGTACTTTATTTTGCTGCCTATTACAACTGAAACTTGAAGCCGAATATTTTTATACAGTTGAATGCAAAAATAAAATTGTATTTCTTCCTCTTGAGAAAAGTAAATGCAAGCTTTAACTCTATTTTCTACTTTATACTCCATTTATGCAACTTTCTGTAACACCTAACCCTGAGTCCCCAATTTAAATTCTAAGACTAGGTCTGTGGTAATAACATTAGTGATAGGATTCACATCCTACTGTTTTGCCAAAAGAAGCTTTCATGTAGAGAGAAGGTATCCATCATTCCAATCTGAAACATCAGATTGCTGAAAGTTAATATGGTCAAAATTGCAGTGCACTGAGTAAGGCTCTTTTAAAAGGTCATTCCTCTATCTCCAAAACTACCATAGTCAAAATAAATAACTCAACTTCCAACTTCAATACAGAGTGGAGGTGAAGATGTAATACAAAGTCCATGTCTCAGATAGGCCATACCTTCAAAGCTTGCTGCAGTATCTGGGTGTCATTAATGCCAGTAATTTCTCTCAACTGATTCAAAAATGTCTGTTGGTGCTAGAAGAAAGTAAAAAGTGAATTATTACACCATGAACTCTGAAAATACATAAGACCATTTATTCATGGAATTTCTTTGTATTACTCGTGCAAACTTTTAAATGATTTCAAAATAAAGTTCTAAAATATTCTGCATTGAAATGTATTGGAGTCAGAATTGCAAAATATACATTTTAAAACATGCTTAATTAGCCTAAGTATGCATAACATACAAATTCAGGTCCTAAGTAAAGTAGAAGGGGGGAAAAAAATAAAATGTCAAAGACTTCCCTATCCATGTAACTCTTGAAAAAGAAAATCTTTTCCATAAAAATCTTATTAAGGAGCTGAATTGAGATTAACCAATAAATAAGATAAATAATAATAATAAAGTAAATAATAAATAAGTACAATAAATAAATACTTAGGCAAAGTTATGTTAAAATCTAAGAAAGTATAACAACTCAATGAAACAATCAAATTGCCAAATTTACAGGGTTTAAGGAAAAATTGTCCTTAAACCTATCGACTTTCCTATCAATTTCCATTTAGAAAGGTATTAGGAACTAACAATGGACTCATGACTGAGTTAGGCAGCACTTTATGATGAATTGAGGACGTATAAAAATACTATGGAGATTCTCTTCAGCTAATTTGATGTCTTAAGTCATTTAAAAAAAAAAAACAACTTTAGAAGCCTGTCTGTAATCTCACTGCAACGAGCAACAAAACCCTATTATTTTCCTTAAAGGCAAATTTTTCAACTATGAATCTAAGACAGATAATTGGAAATCTGAAGGAACAAGTCATTTATATAAATGTTGACGGATATTATTTTTTAAATGCTGGAAAAAAATGGAAACCATGTAAATGTCCTTCTACTAAAGAAACAGTTCTCAACTTACAGAGAGTTTTTTAATATTAGTTTCTTAATATACAGAGGCTGATCTATGTCTAATTATAAAGTCAGGCCCCAAGACAATAGTGTAATTCTAGGGAGCAATTATATCAAATAATTTTGATGTAAATGAACCAAGAAGCAGTTTGAATTAAACAATGATGTGTGTGTGTGTATATATATATTCATCATTTACAAAATAATTTTTATTATCATTTAGTAGTTGTAAAAGAAGTTTCCATTTAACATGCGAGTTTATAAATGCAATGTACCATGGTTAATGTCACCTCTTTCAAATATTTTCATTAATAACTTCATTGTGAAAATACTGTACAGAGGGGTTACAATTACATGAGCAAGGTAATGAGTACATTTCTTATCAAGCATTGTTGCCTCCTCCTTTGTTTTCTCTTACCATCCCTGACCCGAGACCCCCTACCCCCCCACCAAAGTTGTAAAGTTTGTTTTTCAACATAACATCTTGTACATCTTTCAAATCTTATTAAGCTAACAGGGTAGAATACCAACCAGTATAAAACCACCTTAATGCCCACATAGTAAGTGCCAAGCTGAACATAGAGCCAGAAATGATTATACAGAACATGCCAAATCCTTATTTTTATCTGACATCACTGTCTTAACACAAAGGACAATACTTGCATGAGTTGCTTCCTCAAACATGTACAACTCTCTTAAGAAGATGACTTGGGTAGTCCACTTACGCTGGAAGAATGAAGCACTTGGCCAACCAGCAACCATCTGTGAGCATGATGATAATATTCAGTATGCAAGTGAATTTTAGGATGGTTCGTTATAACCAATAGTTCACTGGAAAGAGTGCAGAATGCTATTGTATTTTAGAGAAAAGCAAGACCTGGGAATCTTGTTATAGTTCTTTAGGGTTTTACTTTTTACTAGTCATACTGCCTAGAAAAATAGCAGATACATATATATATATATATATATATATATACATATATATGTATATATATATACATATATATATTCATGGTTTAAGTTTTCATAAGTTGTGACTCAGAATGAATGATAACAAAAGATAGGGGGAAGATGCTTAGGTGGATTAAAGGTAGAAAGAATGTTCTTAGCTGAACTGGGGGGATGGGGGAAAGGAAAAGATTTTGCTCCAGAGATGTACAATCAAAAAAAAAAAAATTCTGTTAAGGCAGAGGGAGCCATTTCACTTATATAGTAAAGCATCTTCTTGTCTTTGAAAATCTGGTTCTTCATCTCCTAAAAAATCTGCTTTGAGGTTTCTTTCTTTCTGTTTTGTTTGTAGTGGCTGCAAGAACCTACTGTCTTTTAAAGTTTGACTGTCTACTTTACCAAAGTTCTGCTCTGTGATATATCCTGATCATTAACTAGAAACATGTAAGGATCTCTCTTCCTATAGCAGCAATTACAGATCCAATATGGACCCAATACCGTTGGTTCTTTTTATTGAGTTCCAAGGTCCTCCTTCTATTGATTCCTTACCCATAAAAGTAAATGGGGATGGGCTCAACCTGTTCCTAGTGCTGGACCAAGAAGGGCAAGATGAAATGTCTAGTAAGTCTCCAACCTGTGTCTTGAGAGCCCTAAATCTATAGCTTCTAAAGCCTGGAATACCAGGCCCTTAACTCTCAAGGCTTAGAGATGTAAATCTCTTTATCTTTCAATCTAGCCTTAGGGGACTTGGACTCAAAGGCCCAGGATTACCAATCCTCAAGAGCTTCTCTTCTCACAATTTTTATCTAGGTAAAGCAAAAAGATGCAGCAAGCTCATTTGTGACAAAAGAAAGCATGTTTAGCAACAATACAATTTTCTAAGGATGCACTGGCTTACATTAAGAAGACTAGCATTTATTATGCTCTTGCTATACAAGACTATCGTAATGTTTCTAGTAGAAAACCTCACACCCACTTTTTAGGAAGTAGCTACTGAAGTATCAGAATCTCTTCAACAGATTTTAGAGTGCATTCAAAGACAGGAATGAAACTAGGTCTTTGAAACTCTAGCTCATATACTCTCCATATTTTCTTGATTACTGACTGATTTCATGAAAAATAAAAACTCATAAAAAAATCATCACTGACATAAAATATTCAGATAACAGTCAAAGAAAACTGAAGCACTGTTGAATTTATGGCAGAATAAAAACTGTGCTAAGAGTTGAATGACTCATAAGTCAGTCATTGGCTTCTTGAAATAAATTTCCAAAAATAAATGAAATTCAGTTAAGTCCAAACAAAAGGAAGCCAAAGGTTTTTACACCTAAGGGAAAAGGCTAGCTTTTCAAAATGATCTCTAGAAAATAGAGAGAAAGAGAAGAAAAGAGGGGGTAGGGAGCCTTCAAATTTTCTAAGAATACAGAAAAAAAAAACTTGGCAGAAAATGACATGTCATTCTTAAACTTCAAAACAGTGTGCAAGAAAACACTGGGAGGCAGTACTGGGCAGGCATTTCCACAGTACCCACCTATGCAAGTCTTAGTTCATTCTACTGTCTTTAAGGTCATCAGCTATCAGTATATTTATTTTTGCAAATAATTATATATGTACTGGCTATCACTTAGCTGTTTCATTTCATGTTCTCACCATAACAAAAAATCTCCAAAACTCACTGACAGATCATTTCATTTATATAATAATCCTTTGTGAAGGGAAATTTCCCTTCTGATAATACTCTGGCAGTCAACTGACAGACACTTTAAACAGGAGATAAGGCACACAAATTCATTGTGTGAGAGCCTCACTAACCTTTCTCTGGGTTGGCCTTGGACCTATATCCTTTAGTTGCCTTCCAAATAGCTGGAATTACAGGTATGTGCAACCATGCCTGGTTTACAGAGCTGTCTTTTAATATGAAAAGGCCCTCTGCATGCCAGAATCTCTATCTGAAGCCCTCCTTGATCTTCAGGTTTGTTTCTTTTCCCTCTAATGCTCATTCAGGGTCCACAAAGTATCTTTCTCTTTCCTAAGACAAAACTCTGCACATTCACACATTCGTTTGTTCTCTTTTAAGGTTAGAAAAGTTCTCTTCAAGCTCACCATAGATATATATAATGCAGTATGGCTTATCATCAGATCAGAACTATTTCTCTCATTAGTGTACTTCTGGTACCAACTATAATGCTAGCACATGAGGAGCTCATTCATTATGAACAGAATGAATACAGCAGAGTGTGTAAAGATGAATTCAATAAGCCATAGAACAAGACTTAAGCTCATCCACAGAACAAAAAACACTAGTAATGAGGAAATCAAAAATCCAAATCTAGTTATTAAGCAAATGTTTTACACTTTCTACACTTTCCTACACTATATTTGAACTTCACAAGCATTATTTTCTAATCCTGATGTTGTCAATCCTACTGAAAGGTTCATGCACATGTTCATGAACATATCAAATGTTCAAAAGGAAACTGAGCCACAACAAAAATTTTAAAGCATTTATTTCAGTGAAATAACTACTCAATAAATGAACCAGAAGCTCCACCTAGGAAACACAAGAAAAGGCTTTCATGGGATGAAAACAGAAGTAAAGCAAAGACAATTTTGCTTTTCTTAGTCTATTCTGGTGAAAAACCTTCAGGTGTTATTCAGGTTTGTTGGTGACTTCTGATGGAGCTTAATTTGTATGTCTCTTTAATATTGGCATTTACAATAAATCACTAGAGTTTTGCTTATGCTTACATATCAAGCAAAGTTTAGGTCATTTATGAAGTCGAATGGTTTTGTCTCCTCAGAGATTCATTAAGGCCTGACTTTCACTCAAAATGAATTTAACACATCCAATGTAGTAACCCAAGAGTGGTTTCAGGTATGTTGTATTTCATACTTCCAGTTAAGTATACTTAAAAGAACTTCAACATTTAAATGAATGACATATACCACTGTATCTTATTATGCTATATCATTTCCATGGAGTCTTATAAATGCAAAAATTCCAATTTTGGTAACTTTCTTCCTATCTTTTTATAGAATACCAAAGCAACACTAAGCATTTATGTAATGTAATAGAATACTAAAGCAATATTAAGCATTTATGTAATACAAGCACTCATATTCCAGTGAGGCATCTTGCTGATTATTCTGGAGATAAGCGTCACTCAAATTTTTCTGC